ATACATCAATGCCTAATCTCTGTAAGATATACCATTGGACTTCATGACTTATGGGTTTCCTAACGCAATTTGTTTGCAATTACAGGAATAAATGACATATTTCAACTAGTTAACACCATTCAGAGAAACAACAGAATGAAAAAAATAATTTTTGTATATTTCTGAAATGACTTTTTTTATTGTCAATTACAGCGGCAGCAACGCATTTTGCAGATTTTCACATATGAGATGCTGTTGAAGTATCCTTCCCTACAGTCTGTACTTTCAAGCGGTTCTGTTCGGACTTTCACCGTCGTCCCTGCTAATTGAGATTCAAGATTACCAGGAGTTGCAGCAGAGCAATGATATATCAAAAATCAACTAGATATTTTTACACCTCAAATATGAATATAGCGATAACCCAAACAAGTGAATCTGATGTGAAGCCAATGAAAATTGTATCTCGTTATCGTGAAAACTATCAAGAGAATTAATCGGTACATTCAATCAGGCTCCAGAGTCATTGATTATAAATGTCAATCTACATTTTTTTTATTCTTCACAAGTATCAAGCAAATTTCAGTAACTAGTAGTGGTCTAGATTACATTGTCACTAATATAATGCCCATCTCTTGTAAAGTTGTAGATGTAGGCATCTCAGATCGCTATGCTCAAATATTGACATGGAACAAAAATAAAATGAATAAGGCAAATATCGAAACAAATTACATCATCACTCGAAAGATAAATGAGCAGTCTCTTCTAGAATTCAAATCCCTATTACAAGCAGACACTTTCTCTTACGAAGAGGATGGAAGTGTGGATGTCTTGTACAATAATTTTTTCATGCATTTTTAGTGGTGTTTGGATGTAACAATTCCTAAACAAAAAATTTAACCAAAGAAACATAACAAAACCGAGAAAGTACCAGTCCCAAGAGAACTTCATAAAGAATTAGAAAATCTCCAACAACTGAACTGGCTACGAAAACATTCAAATGACCAAACTATTCATAATCATTATAAAATAAGTAAGAAGCAAATTGATAACAAAATTTCTTGTGAATATTTTTGGGAAATACTTCGCGAATTCTGTCAGAGAGAATGTAGACTCTCTTAACCTCCCCGTTGATCTGTGCACAAAATCGCCCGTCACAATTCCTAATTCTGTGTTCTTTGCTCCTGTGACTGAACATATCGTCAAATCTATTGTGTTGGGCTTGAAAAAGAAAATTTCCACTGGCATAAATGGAATACCAGCAATTCTACTGAAAGAGTCCATTGACAATATCTCAAGTACATTAGCCATTATTATAAATCACTCTATCATTAGTGGAATGTTCCCAAATAAATTGAAGATATCAAAAGCAGTTCCGGTCTTCAAGACTGGGGATACCCAGTGCCTGGAAAACTACAGAATGATATTTCTACTGAGCTGTTTTTCCAAAATTATGGAAATGACAGTCTATAATCAAATACCATCATACCTAACTGAACATAATTTATTAACCACACGACAGTTCGGATTCCGACCTGGCTACTCTGTCGAAAGAGCCTCAGCAGATCTTGTACAATATATACATGATAACATCAACGAAATTAAGCTTGTGGTTGGACTATTCTTCGATCTGTCTCTTGCATTTGACACAATCAACCCTAGGTATCTACAAATAAAACTGGAAGCTCTAGGCACCCGAGGTCCAATTCAAAAATGGATCGAGTAATATATGTCCGGTGGATCTATTAAGGTGCAGGTTGAGAAGCAGTTTTCAGAAAATTCTGATAAAAAGATTGGCACACCCCAAGGAGGGGTTCTTGGGCCACTGCTATTTCTGCTATATGTCAATGACCTTCCTAACTACATCAGTCAAGGACGTACAGGACGTATCAATCAGGTACAGGCTAAAATAGATACTGTAATAAAATAATTTACATACTGGTGTGAAGAAAATCACCTTATCAATAATGGAAAGGAAATGGTCTCCATCGAATTCACTAGTACCTTAAAGCGCAATAATAAATTATCAATAAATGTTGATCACAGAAGTTCACAACTCAAAATCAACGAGATTCCTAGGCCTCGAACTAGACCAAAAACTTTCTTTCAATAGACAAGTTGATGCTCTGTGTAAAAAACTCAACGAGCTGTACTTTGCATTTATTACTCTGAAATTGAGTTTTCATAGACACCACCTAGTAAACCTATATTATTCTTTAATATACAGTATCATAAGTAGTAACATCATTGTGTGGGGAAGAGCTACAGACACATGCAGAATTTTCATATCACAAAAAAATTCAAAAGGTTGATATATGATTTGGACTACTATCTATATAACTCTACAAATTATTTATATATACCCATCAGAATGCTAAAAATATGAATAGAAACAGTGACTACCATGAATATCATACCAGACATTAGAATGACTTCCACTTGTACCACTTGCAAAGAAAGCAACATATAAAGAGCCCTCTATATGCTGGAGCACATTTGTTCAATCTTTTACCTGAAGACTTGAAACTCATTACCACTATGAAACATTTCAAACTATCTTTGAAAAAGTTTCTCATCCGCCATGACTTTTATTCATTAGACGAGTATAAACAACTTAGCGACTAGGCAGTTATGTTTCAATGTATTTTAACATGTGTTTATATTTAAATATTTTATATTTTATTTTATTCATTTTTAACGACTAGGATGTTTGTCATGTTTTTTTCTTAATGTTTATTTCCAATGAGAATTTTTTCTCTCTTCATGTACTGTGACTTATCTCATGTTGTAAAGCAACCATAAGAGATTGAATAAATATCTATCTGTCTATCTATCTATCTAATGAATTAATAAACAAAATACTTTCCAAAAAAGTCTACGCAAAAACGGTCCGAGACATTTTTCCTATTGATAAGTTAGATAATCAAAATTTTAGAGCTTTAAAGTATTTTGGACAAACAACGGAAAAGTGTCTTCATTATTGGGAAAACGAGATATCAAAGTAGCATATAGAACAAGTAATAGGTTGGAGAAGTTAGTTAAAAATAAAGATAAAACTTTCAAATTCGAGAAATTGAAGTGTGGAACGTGTCCTAAGGTATATATTGGTTAGACTGGCAGAACATTTAGGAATCACATCCAGGAACATCATGTATGAGCTATGTAAATCACAGAAATTCAATCAGCAATTGGCAATGTCTCCAAATATTTACCAAAATATGAGAGTATATCAGAAGACTATATAGTTTCAGATATTACTGGAGAAATTGATCTATACAGACAGTTCTGGCAGAACGTTAGTGACGTTCTCACTTCCATAGATGACGCTTTTAGAAAGTGCGATTCTGACATTTTTCTTTTAATTAAAAAATGCATGATCTTGAATTTGACCTGGCCAAGCAGTGTCGCTTCAGCAGAGATAAGTTTTTCAGCCTTAAGGCGCCTCAAAACTTGGCTCAGATCCACAATGAGTCAGGATCGTTTAACTGGTCTAGCACTATTACATGTACATGCCTGGGACTTACCCATAGAAGCTAATGCAGTAATAGATCGATATGTCAATAAGAAAAACCGAAAACTAGAATTTATCTTTTAATTTATCTGTTGCATTGTCTTCCGTACAATTAGTGAGATATACTTTTCAATGAACCTACCTATATTGGTATGTAGTATGATGTAGTATGAAGTACAACGAATATCATTGTTTATTTTTAATCACCTTGCCAAAGACAAAAAATGTTGTTTTTCTCTGAAATCTACAGTTTATTTTTATTGAAATTGTTAGTTATTTATACTTTCTTATTTTATTTATGTTAAAATTAAAGATATAACAAATCTGACGTTTTTATTTCACACTTTGCTAATAATTCAAGTCATTGTGAAAGGTGAGTTGGTGAAAAGGCCAGTATGCATTTTTTTCTTGTTGAAATGGTGGTATGGTGAAAATATTTTTCTCCGCAATTACCCCCCCTGTAATCGAAAGCTGTATACGCGCCTGGTAAATCAGAACATATTCAACATGTTCAACATATTCAAATCATCTTTTAGATGAAAATCATATTTTTAACGAAGAGTTCGGAATATTACACACAGAATATAAAAGTTTTGAACTGAATCATTTGGAAGCAATAGAAATAAATAAACTTAAAAATTCAAACACTCTAATGAATGACCAACTGGATTTGAATAGATCACCATTATTGTACTTGTTTTCTTAGAAAAACCGAGAACGAATTATAACTGATGTGAGGAAGGTAATATGCTTCAGGTGATCACAATTGAAGAGGTACTTCAGATAGAAGTTTAGGTATTTTGTTAGAGGTAGTCTCAATTATGGTAACCTGTAGTTTATAAATATTAGTGTGAGAATGTAGTATTCAAATCAGTGTTGACAAAGTTACTGTGTTAGCGAAACATGTCGTGATATATTTTTCAAATAAAGTTTCTGGAGATCATATTGTGAGGTGTAGTTTATGAAAGTATAGCAAAAGTTGAAATTAAAAATAATCAAATTCGTTGGTCTCCAGATTTTTTTTCAGTTGCTCAGCCGCTATGTCAATACTAAATAAGTAAAATAAATTTAAAATCTTTTCTTGTGCCAAAATATGCAAGTGAGTGATTTTTTATGTTCTATATGTGGAACAGAAAGTAGAACCGTTCTAGAAAGGAACATTGCATATTCTAGAATTGATAAATAAATGGCAATGAATCACTTCATCAGACAAGTTGGACTTGACAGTAACTAATTGGAATTTAGTACTATGATAATTGAGGAATGTTTTCTCTAAGCAGAAACCAGTCATTTGAATGTCAGGCTTCATAATTCTGATAGCTGCTCAGATCGATTCGTTGGTTTTCAAATTGGATACTAGTGTGTGTTGGCATACTCATGTAAAAAGATTAACAATAGCAACCTCTCAGAAATTCGGAAAATTATTTCAAACTAGAAAGTTCTACAAACCTCAGTAACTTGGGAAAGCTTTTGTGAATATGTATGTCACTAGTTTTGCAGTGCTGAGACTCACCTCAACAGATGTCCGTCTCGTCTCCTCGACGTCTGCCACGGCGAGTCTTCGTACCGATACGCCTTCCGCAGAATAGGGGCGCACGAGCAGCTGAGCTTGTTGCCCATCGATGCTGCTGAGCACTGGCACTGCTGGGCCCCCCTTTGTCACCACATATCACCAGCTGCACCGCCAAGATCACTGGGCGCCCCTCGTGTCGAACTCCACTGGCCAGCCCGTACTCCGCGGTTCAGAGACTGTGACCGCTGGTGGTGGTGGCTCAGCTTGCCATGTTTGTGCTGCTGGAACAATGAAAAATTCATTAAGACAGCGGATAGATCTAGTTTCATTAGATCCTGATCAATAATTCAAAAAGATGATTCATAGGCGATCACGTGGACAGCTAGTTCACATTCGTAACGCTTGGTTCACTCTCGCGTAGATCAAATCACTCACTTTAATACATAGGTACCCAGGAGAATTTCAATATTGCCAATCGGTTGTTTTCAGCATATAGAATGTCCCAGATTCCAGTTATGAAGAGAAATGTTCGTTATTCATGAAGGTAGAGAAACTAAATGAAGGCTATCATAAAAAACGTCAGAATACCCTCCTGAAATTATCTCTTAGTTTCTGAGGAAACACCATATTGTAAACATCAATTAAGTCTCTATCACTGTAAAAACAAAAAAGTAATGTTGTTCATAATCGAAAATACCCCAAAGATTCTAGTTACCTAGGTACATGAAATTCTGAAAAATTCACAAACTCTACAGAATACGATTTTAGAGGCTTTCCAACCTTACTGAAGGCACTTGGGATACAGATTTCAGATAACTTTGAAGAAAACAATCTATTGGTATGATATCAAAAAAATGGGCTGGCCAACGCATTGAACCCTTATTTCCTACCAATCTCTGAGCATATGTATCTCAAGATATTGAGTAATTATTTACAAATTATGTAGCACCATCATTGATCTTTCTAACAGAGAGATAAGTTCTAATAGATTGGTCAAGAAGTTCAGCAGATTATCGAGTACCGTGGTACTGATCAAGTACCAATATGAAAATATGACCCAATGATGTATCCACCATAAATGGATTGGAAACAAGTTTCAACTAGAACGTAAAACTAGAACCTCTGGCGTAGAATGAATCAAAAACAAGCAGTTTTACCAATCACTAGAAATGCAATACTCTTGTCAACGCACCAACCAAGTTGGCGTTTACAAGGGAAGAGAACTTCATCTTCTACTATCCAATGGGGAGTGTATTTGAACCACTTATGAGCATTGTGTATGTGAACACACCAATAATATGAAATTTGTTTTCATCAATCCAGCAGATAATATTTAAGACACTTATCGTGTACCATTAGTTGAAGGCACGCGATGAGTTTATATCGTTTATATCTGTGAGCCGCAAAACGAGCATCAAATGAATTTTAGAAAAGAAGTGAATATATGAACTTCTTAAACATATACTAGAATATTAATTACATTTTTTTCACTTCTGGCTGATGCTTGATGCATGTATAGTTGGATATGATGGGAAGGCATTGTTATAGGTCGCGAACTTCATTTCTATCATCTGTTCTCAAATCGATGAACTGACATTTTTTTGTACTTTTGAATGTTGTTGCTGATAAGTTGATTATTCATTTGAGTAGACATTTTGAAAGTAGTAGAAATAATATCGACAGTGACATGAACACTCAATGAATTGTGAATTTTTTGGAGTTATTATTTCAAAAACTAAAGTGAAGGGTAGTTTTCTGAAAATTGGTAAGCATGATGTTCATGATGTTCTCAGGAGACCATCTCAAGATGATTTTTGTACTTTTCTCTAATCATGACGAAAATTTTCCGTGTAAACCGAATTTTGGGACACCCTGTATGAAAATAATATGTGTTAATATTCATAGGGACACAAAGATTCTATGAAGGTGCTATTTCAAAAAACAATTTATAATAGTTACAACAATTCCAAAGATGATTTCAATCGAACACTTTAACATCTTTCAATACCGTCTTCGTTAAAATTTTCTAGCTGCACAAACAACAGGGATTTCGCTTGTTAACAGATTCCTCTTTCATGTATGTTAAAATCGATTTGATCGTGCCAATGAATCACTTTCTTCAATTCTTGATGCAGTAAATTTTTATCGCTTCGACTGAGATTCTTCAAATCGGTACTCCAGAAATTTTCATTATTATGATTTGTAAAGGAGCAGATGGATGATGCTGAACATCAAGTCCAACAACTAAATTCTCACAACAGTGTCATTCCGAACTGGTTTCCCAGATTCTGAAAGTCAATATTTTACCTTTCTCCAAATATACTTCTTCTCAACTGTGACAACCGAAAACACTTTTGTTTTTCTGCATTTCTACTGAAACTATAAACAAAAACAATATTATTTCTCAAATTGTTTTTGACGAATAGTCACAGTCATAGACAAAGATGGCAATTACAATCACAGAATTGAGACTGATTCAATTGAATGAGTGAAAGATTCACAAATTTGTCTAAAGAACCAATCGAAGTAATGAATGACGTATTCAAAACAAACTCCTTTCATTGTGACATTTCCACTTGATAGTTTACAAAAACCGTGACACGTGTTTTGGACGGGACGGGATGAGTGAGGGAGTTCTTTTTGATGCCCCAATGAATTTCCATGAAGGAACAATTGATTCAATATTTGAAGCAATTTGAATTCATTCTCAAAATAGTGGCTCGGTAAGACATATCGTTTCATGTTTACATTGTTAGTGAGGCTATGCAATATGAGACAGTAGATTTACGATGTGCTCAGAATTTGTGAAAAGTTATTAGAGCCAATCTCTAGCTAAAATAACAGCTGGGAAAATAGATTCCCAGACTGAAATACAGACTGATTTCAAATCAGTTCGTTCTCGTGAAAATGTTTTTTAAGTACTAACTAGAATGTAGCTGAGGCACCATCAGACAAAGAAAGTCTATTTTTAATGACAACTTTATCAATAACTAATCGTATTCAATGATTCTCCTATTAAGAAACGAGCTGAAAGTTTGTTCAAATAATCATCGTTTCGGAAGCCAAAGTATGTCTTCATCTTCAGAATAGAAAAAAATATGGGAAGATTATGATGCAGCCCCACAAAATCTACTTGTGTTTGACAGTGTGGAAAAAAGGCTATAAATGAGGAAAACGTTATCAAGTGAATGTTACAAATGAATACTTGAAATTATAAGTACGGAAGAATTAATTACAATTCATCAGAATCAGTATTATGCGTGGTGAAGAATGTTGAAAAGAACTAATTATTGGGTTACATGGCTCGCGGTTTTTCCAAAATCATTCTTCATGGACTGGTGGTCATGAATTTAGAGTCAAAACGTGGCGATCCATTCAACTTCCTAAGATACAGCCATACAAAATTAGGTTCTGTTGAAAAATCAACTATTTCACGAAATTGTTTCTGATAATGAAAATGTGTAACTTTTACACACCTGTCGTATATGTATTCCAACGAACGTTTGGAATACAAACTGAGTAGAAAAAAGTGTTTTCTGTAACATTCATTGTTCATATAAAATCATTTGTTTCGAAAGAATTTTTCTTTTCTGTGATTCAAAGTTTATATGAAAGTAGCTGTTCCAGAAAGGCTTTTTCTTCCGGATTCGTGTCAGAAAGTTACTTCTTTGCATGATCTACACATCTATGTATACAGTTTCTTCTTTTGAAACTGATTACTTTCTTCCATTCTTTGGAAGTTTCCCACTTTTTTCTGTATCAAGATGGAGTAGTAGAAAACTAAAAACTTTCTTTTCCAAAAATTAAAATATAACCCTTTCAAATTATACATTCAGTGTAAATAATTTTCGCGCAAAAATGGCACGTGAAACGTATTGAAATTTCAATGACCATAGGATATGGTGAAAGGAGACGAAGTTGTGACCAAGTAGTGGATATTTTGAATGAATTGCATCCCAATCGTGAACCCATTCCCACTCGGAAACTCATTCCTAATCAACTGTTTCAAAATGTTGCAGCATTTTCATGAAACTGAAGGTGTCAAAGATCAACCAAATAGTGGAAGACCAGTAAGCACTAAAAATGAAGAAAACTATCTAAACGTCATATCAGATGTAGTGGAGAAACCAATGAATTCGGTACAACAGAAGGCTTTGACGGCCACAAAAAGTAAATGGGTCCTATGACGTCTCAACAATAATGCCACGTTATACCCTATTTCACAAACAGAAATTTTATCTCTGAACGATATGTAATATTTTTACGACAGCATATCATTCCAGAGCTTAGACGTCTATTCTCGAATAATAACAATCCCAATTACCTAGGAGAACATATATGGTTTCAATAAAATGAGGCTCCTCCACATTTCAGAAGTGTGGTACGGGCATATCTATAGATGAAAATTTTCTTGATAAGCGGATTGGACGTAGAATACCAATTGAATGGCCAGTTAGGTCTCCCGATATGATCCCACTTGACTCTTTTTAATAGAGTCTCATGAAAAATGTAGTCTACAGAAACAGGCCGCAAAATATCGAAAAATTGCAAGAAAGAATTTGGCATGAAATTTCAACACCATTTCTCCTCGCATTCCTCCTAGATTTACTACAAA